GGGGCGGGCCCCGGGGCGTCGGGGGCCGGCGGGGCGGGCCGGGCCGGCCCAGGGCCTGCCGGCTCCCCGCTTCGAAGGGCGGGTCAGGCGCAAAAGGTTTCCCGGCAAGCCGCGAGGCCGAGGCCCGGAGCGGGGCCCCGGGCCCCGGGGCGGCCGGCGCGGGGCTGCCGGGGGGGCGAGCTGCGAACCCCGGCGCGGGCCGCCCATCCCAGCCCCGGGGCGGGGGCAGCGGCAGCAGGCTCTCGGGCGGAGCGGCGGCGCGGGCGGAAACGGGGGCGCGTCCTCCGCGGGGACCCGCGGGCTGTCGCGGCGCCGGTGGGGCCCAGCGGCCTGCACCAGGGCGGCCAGGTTCTCGCCGAAGCCCCAGCGCGGCAGGAAGGCGGGCAGCGGCACCACGGCCCAGAGGTCCGCATCTTCGTGCGAGAAGCGTCTCGTGGGCGGGACCTGTGGGGACCGACGGGTTAGCTCGGGTGCCGCCTAGCAAATAGGGACCCACGCAGGGCAGGTGTCAATCCCTCCGAGGCTCAGCGTCACCTGTGCCTTGGGTGGTGAGGGGACCCCTTGATTGAGGCGCTGAGCCCCAAGGAAATACCAGGCGCCAATGGACACTCCCCCGAGCACAGAGCACGGGGCAGGGTGGGGCGCCCACCTGCACAGGTCCGCCCCCGGGCTGCCCATCTGGGAGGTGAAGCCCCCCCCCCCCAGCTGGCAGCCCCCCCCAGCTGGCAGGCAGGAGATGTGCTCAGAGGGGAGAGGCCCCGGGGACAGGACAGGATGCCACGCCCGCACCTTCGGAGCCTGCCCCTACCTGCAGGTACTGCATCTTGTCCTCCTGCAAGGGCCCCAGCGGGTAGAGATGGGGCAGGGCCCCCTCCAGGGGCAGCTCGTAGTTGGCCATCCTGTCCAGGGCCACAAAGTCGCCCCCACAGCTGTAGTCCAGGGAGCGCTCCAGCACCAGGTCCTGGGGCAGGCCCCCCTCCAGGCTGGTGTCTGCAGGGCGGGGCAGAGGCTTAGGGTCAGGGGTCAGGGAAGCCTGGGGGCATCTGCAGGCTAGTCCAGGGTCCCCCACAGGCACGCACAGGGCCGAGGGCTGGTTAGTGGGGAAGAGGAAGGGCAGGGTCCTGGGTACCGATCCCGATTCCCCACCTTCCAGCTTTGGGGCTGGGGAGCCAGTTTCCTTGTCGGTGGGGGTGCGACCTCAGGAGCTAAGTACACACAGGGGCTGACAGTGCCCGGCACGTAGCAAGCTCTTGGCTGAGGATAACATTCCCATTGCCGGGGAGACAGGCCCTGGGTCTGCGGGAGCCGCTGGGCACCCCTGAGGTTGGAAGCTCAGAGCACATAGTCTGGGGCACAGCCCTGCCTGGGGCAGGCAAGTGGGACAGAGAATGCCCCCTGGGAGGGACGCTGAGGTCCCTTAGGGGTTCGAGCGCATTCGGGAGTAATCCAGGGGGTGTTTGGGGTTGACAGTGGGACCTCAGTGCCATGGGGTGGCCGCCTCACAGCTGTTATCACAGCGACTCCAGTGACCTCACCCAGATGCCCCCTCCTCGGGGGCCACTCTCGGGGTAGCCTCACCATCGCCCGAATCCTCGTCGTTGGCCATGAGCGCGGTGCACTTCTCCCAGACGGCCTTGAGGTCGGCGCGGTAGCGGTCGCAGGCCCAGAGGAAGATGGGCAGCAGCAGGGCCTGGGCCACGGAGCACCACAGCACGCACAGCACCATCCAGGGTGCCGAGGCATCCGCCCGCAGGCTGCTGAAGCTCACCACCTGTGGGCACAGCGCTCGCCTGGCACCCGGCAGGACCCTCCACCACGTCCCCTCCCAGACTGGCCTCCCATCTGGGTGGCATGGCTGTGCCCACCTGCCCGAGGATGGGGGTGGCGGAGACAGAGCACTAGACTCTGGGGCAGGAAAGAGGCAGAGAGTGAGGGCGGAAGTCCCTGCCCCTGAGAGCTGCTGGCTGCCAAGGTACACAGTCACTGCCCAGTGTGCCTGGTCCCTCACTGTGTGCCAGCAGCACTGGGCGTGCCTGCCCTCACGTCACCCTCGGACTGCCCGAGGACAGGGCAGGGCATGGGTTCTCACCGCCTTTCTGGGAAGAGGAAACGGGCTTGCAGAACCATGTTTCCCGCCTCCCAGTGCAGGACCATTCTGTCCTGCTCACTTCTGCCGTGGCCTCCGCGGCCCTGCCCCTGCTCTGGGGGGCTAGGCCTCAGGCCCCAGAGGACAAGACTCAGAGCAGTTTCGGAGGCTCAGAGGGTTGGGATGTAGGGACGAGGACCAGCCAGGTGGCCTTTGGGTCACTGCCCAGGGTGCCTCCTTCCTCCACTCCCACCCCCGACCCAGAGTGGCTGTTCCCCACCAGAGAGGGAGAGGCACAGTGCAGACATCACGCTGGTTCTGCCCCGCGAGCTGCGTGCCCCTCAGGAAGGCACGGAACCTCTCCGGGGCTCAGTTTCTTCATCTGAGAAATGGGGCGAGAACACCCTATAGGGTGAGGCAAAGCTTCCGGGTGTTGTACCAGGCCTGCAGCATGGAGTGGGCTCCATAATGGCACCCCTTTCCTTCCCTGAAGAGAAGCTGGGGGTACAATTTCATACACACTCCTTCCCTCCCTCAGCACAGGGACGGGGACCCCAGGCTCCGCTGAACACAGGAGGACCCCATCCCGAGGGGGGGGGGTGCTGGGCCCACTGAAGGCGGAGCCGCAGGTGGCTGGAGAGTGCACCCTGTGAGGCTGCCACCCACCCGTCACCTTCATGAGCTGTGTCTACAGGGCACAGCCCCCCCCCGCGGCTTGGGCGAGCCCTCTGGCTGGTCCTTGTCCCTGTCCTGCTCCAGACCCTTCAGGGGGCTGGGGTAGGGGCCCACGGTGGGGAGGCCCAGCCCGGCCTCACGGGCAGGACCCCAGTTGGCTTCTATGGAACTTGGACCCTGTTGGCAGAGCCTTCCTCGGGCCAGACCTCACCGTGACCTTCCTCAGCCCCTGGGGTGAAGTCCAACTCCCCAGCAGACATCCAAAGCCTGCCTGGCCCCCCAGTACAGGACCAAAGCCTCACTCCACACATCCTCGGACCTGGAGCCGTGACCCCACTTTCATGCCTGTTGCACCCACTGGGCCTCACTCGGGTGGGAAAGTCCCCTGTGATGTGGCGGGAAGACCCTGGGCCGAGAAGGCCCCCGAGGTGGTTCAAGTCCCACCACGGCCGTCCTGACTTTGGCTCCTCAGTCCTGTCCCTCTCTGAACCTCGTTTTCCAAGCCTGTAAAGTGAGGATGGGGATGATGTCCCCCCCAGAGGATTGGGTGTGAAGATCCAAACACCTAATGCCCGCAGCGCCCCTGCCCCAGAGCCCCCCACAACCACAGGCTCACCCACCAGCACGGGGAAGCCCATGAGGCAGTCGTAGATGAAGACAATGGTGGCCACCAGGCCCGTGATCTGCAGCGAGGTCTTGGCGGGCTCGGAGCCCTCGATGGAGGAGCGGCGCTTGCCCTGCGCGTCCTCTACCACGATGGTGGGCACCGTGAAGGCCCGGCGGCCCGCCCGGCGCCCCGCCCGTGCGGCCAGCGTCTGGAAGAGGGCGATGGCTGTGCACACGGCGCCCATGGCCACGCTGCCCCCCACCAGCAGCAGGAAGCAGACACCGAAGCCCAGGCCGATCTCGGCCACGATGAAGCGGCAGCCGTGGGCGTAGAAGCGCTCGCTCGTGTCGTGCCAGCCGACGGCAGGCAGGGCCGACAGGGTGAAGGACACCATCCAGATGCCCATGACCGTGTGCACCGCCTGCTTCTTGGCGTTGCTCAGCCTGACACGGGAGGGGGCGGGACAGAGGGACGCCGCGTCACTCACCGGGCCTCCGGGAACCACAGACACCGGTGCACGCGCCCACGCGGGGCTCACCTGTAGTTCACGGGCCAGCGGACCATCCACATGCGGTGGTAGGACAGGGAGGTGACGGAGAAGCAGGTGGCCAGGGTGAGGGTGTAGAAGGTGGACACGAAGACCTTGCAGAGGCCCTCGTTCCACTCGTAGCCGGGGCGCTGCCGCCGCAGCTGCACCACGGCGTAGGTGGCGATGGGCACCGCCACGTTGAGCATGTGCGTGGCCGCCAGCGTGCACAGCAGGAACTCCAGCGGCTTCCACTTCTTCTGCTTGGCACCCACGCTGAGGATGCCCCAGGCGTTGGCCAGCAGGGAGAGGCCCCCGCACGCCAGCCAGCCCACGGCGCTGCCAGGCGGCCGCTGCTCCTCACTCATGGTGCAGGCGGGAGCGGGCGGGCGGCCGGGGCATCCTCCTCGCAGCCAGGCCTCGGCTCGGAGCGGCTGCCCTCACACCCAGCGGCCCGGGGACACCAGGGACCAGGAGCATCTGCGGGGTGGGGGTGGGGGGGCGGGCAGTGAGGCTCAGCGGCTCTCCCTGTGGCTGCGGCATCGGGGTCCTGGGAGGAGATGGGAGGCGCCCCCAGGTGCCATCACCTGTTGGTCCGGCTTGGGCTGCTCTCCTCTCCTCTCTTTGGCCTCCTGCCCGTGTCCCCGGCCCCAGGGGATTACACAGAGGTGCCTGATAAGGGCCCGTTTCCTCACTTCCAGCCGCTCTAGGTGAAGGGAGGAATCTGGCTTCCTTCCAGCCACCTGTGCCCTCAGGGAACAGCAGGCTGGCTCAGGCGGGCATTCTTGCCCCATGTGTGCCCGGGCCCTGGCTGGCAACAAGCCCTCTTGCCAGCAAACGTCCCCAGGTCCCAGGGTAGCCCTGGCAAGGCTCCCCCAGCGCACGCCGGGGCCTCGCTGCCATTTGTCCCCTTCATTTGGCAAAACGCGGATGTGCCTGGGAGGCTGAGTCCCCTCCCCCCCCCCCCCCCGTGCGAGGGAGGGGTGACCTGGTGACCACTTCCATGGCCCTGCCGGGGAAGGGCCGCCTGTGCTGCCCGGGTCTGCCCCCAGCTAGCCCAGAAGGCCCCGCACTGCAAGGCTCCGCGTCCCAGCTGCGCGGTCCCAGTGAGGTCCCTGCTCACGCCCTACACCTAACGGGACAAGACTTCCTCCGGGGGAGGCTGGGTGGGCACGTCTTACACACGGTGGTGGTCAGTGTCATGTCACAGATGCCTTGACCCAAGAGGAACCGCCGACGGCCTGGACGTGAGCCAGGAGAAAGGATGGCAGGCAGGAGGCACGTGTTGGGAGGCGCCACATCTGCTGGAGGGCTGGGCAGAGGTCCCTCCCGCCCCCTCTCCAGCCCACAGCCCTCAGCTGCCTCCTGTATGGAGTGCCAGCCCGTAGGGAGTGCCGCCCCACAGGCCCCTCTGGCCACAGCCTGGAGCAGGCAGCGCGGGGAGAAGCAGCCGCTCCATGAAGGCCCACTGTGTGCTCTGCCTACACTTGGTCCTTTCTCACCGGGGAGCCTGTTGAAACTCATTGGCCGCACTTCTGGCCCGACACCCATGGGTGCCTACTGTACCTGACACATCACGTGACCCCCAGGGACTGGTTCCAGCTTGGGAGGGACAGGCCACTGCAGGACCCCAGTCGGGCTCAGGGCAGAGGACACCCCCCCAGCAGCCAGGCCTCATGCTTGTCTGGTCCCAGGTTCTTCTGGTCTGTCTGTGGCCTGAGCCCCGGACCCTGAGGGACCTGAGGGATGTGTCTCATTCATCACGGTGTCTCTGGGGGCCTGCCCAGAGCCCCGGCCCAGGGGGGGTGGTAGTGGGAGGAGTCCACTGGAACACACCCCAGGGGGCTCGGGGACTTCTGAGGCCGGAACTTCCTTCTCCACATGCGGCGTCTGCGTGCAGCATGGCCTCCCCTTCCCCATCCCAGACCCCGTGTGGGAGGCGGTGGCCTGTCGGCCCCTCCACCCCAGCTACTCCGGTGTCCAGCAAACCTCCCTGACCTCAGCACGCAGAGGCCAGTGTGAGGGACGGGCTGCCAGACTCCAGCGCCAGCTCCCCACCAGCTACTTCCCTCCGCCAGGCCTGTTTTCTCATCTGTAAGCTGGGCATGACAGTCCCTACCTGGAAAAGCCTTGTGGGAAGTCAATGAGCTATGCAGGGAAGTGCTTAGCGTGGAGCCGGACACTGTAAGCGCTCAATAGACGCTTGCCATGCAGACGGCTGCACCCAAGCCCCCCAGCTCGCTGCGCTGCCTTAGGGGCTAAGACACTGAGCGTGGCGGTGTGGGCGACCCTCAGACCTGCAGGCGGACACGCTGACTCCCTGACAGCACTTGGGACAGCCCAGCTTTGGGGGTGACGTGGCCACAGGCTGCCCCCAGCCCCACGGGGTGCCTGGCAGCGTGCTGGGGGCCCAGAGCAGGCAGAGGGTGGGTGCTCCCGTGGTCCAGAGGCTGCAGTCACCAGTGATCCTCGTCATCAGATAGGAAACTGGATCCAGCATGCAGCTGGTGGATCAGCACCCTTTCCCATCTGCACGGGGCTGGGCCGCGGGCCAATGGGAGGCCTTCCCTGAGGTGTTCACACAGCTCTGTCTGACCCTGGGGCCCTGGTGAGGGGGTGGGGAAGGAGCCACAGGCTCCCACTGGCACAGCCCTTCACGTGCCAGGGGATGCCCTGTCTGGCGTAAGGGTGCCTCGCTGCTGGGCACGGCTCTTTGTCTGCAGGCAGGAGAACATGCCCTGTGGGTGGAGGGAGGAGTTACCTTCCTGGGAACAGGCACACTCCACCCTCTGAGCATCTCCAGTGATTTTGTGCCCTGACAATGTCATCATCCCCATTTTAAAGATGGTCAAACAGAGGCAGAGAAAGGTAAAACCATTTGCCCAAGTTATTATGTGCCCGAGCGAGGATCCAAACTCAGTTTGCCTGACATAAAAATCCTGGCTTCTCAGACCTGGCCAGGTGGCTCAGTTGGGTAGAGCCTTGTCCGGATACACCAAGGTTGCAGGTTCTACCTCCGGTCAGGGCGCATACAAGAAGCAACAGTGAATGCACAAATAAGTGGAACAACAAATCGACGGTTTTCTCTCTCTCCCTGCCTCTCTCTCTAAAATTAAAAAAACAAAAACATCCTGACCCCTCAAACCCCAAAATGCTCGAGAACAAGTCACTATTATTATTATTATTATTATTACTATTTATTCCTCAAGTTAAGATGGCTTTTCCGAGCCTCCTACTTCTGCCGGGTGGGCCCGCCTCTGCCCATAATGCAGAGGGGAACACTGAGGCTTGCAGCCCAGTGCAAAACAGGGAGGGAAGTGTGAGGGCAGTTTGGGGCCCAGGACTCCTGGGCGTGGAGGCCCTGGGATGGGAGATGAATGGCACGGGGTGAGGGTGGGGCGTGTGTACCAAGATCTCCGGATTCAGAGTGACAGGGGGCTGGCTCTGTGGGGAGAGGGAGTCCCCTTCCTCCAGGTGGTGACCCACAGATCGCACCCCTTCCTCACGAACAGGGGACACTTGGGGCCCCTCCATTGGGGTCCGCACCCAGGCCTGGGAAGTTTCTCCTGCATCACAGCCAACGCATCCCCACAGCGTTTCCGGAAGGAGCTCCCCGCCTGCGCCCCCATATCTAAGGGGAGGCTGCAGATGCGCAGGCCTGGGACCCACAGCCCAGAAGACTCCCTCCGAAGGGTCTGCGGGGCGGGCCCGGCGTGACGTCACGCCCCCCGGCCAATGAGGCCGCATGGCCCCCGGGCTGGATTGCGCAACAAAGAAGACCTCGAACTTGAAAGGATTCCCCGGGCTGGCCGGCCGCCCTCGGGCTGCGCTCCGCCCGCGCCGCCTTCGATCCGCCCGCAGGGCCCGGCCTGGCCGCCCAGGGCGGGGTCGAAGCGTCTCGGGCACCCCCACCCTCGCG